GGTGTTATTTCAGGTTTATAATTTGAATGCGTACATAATTTGAATGAATACAACTTTGACAGTTTATTAGTTAGAAAAGAAGAAAAAAGACAGTGCTGTGTCGTTCTTCAGCAAATTGATTGCCAGGAGCATGTTATTGACTTTGGTGATAATATCATTATATATTTTACAGTGGTAAAATCAAGAAATTTAGATTATGCTCTGAGGGCTTCACACATTTAAATAAAGGATATAGCCATTTCTGGGGTTATTGGCTTAGATTAGCAGGGGCTATGAAGAATGTTTAGTGTGTTACGAGGACAGAAAGAGCAACAGTGTTTTTATTGCTGCGATGCTTTGCTTTATTTTCTTTTTCTATTTAAGAAAGATGCTCACTTACAGATCCCCTGGGAGGACGAAAAGCGTTTGCTCTAAATGTTAACATATTAATACAGTGTTATCTCAGTGTTCTGTTGGGTTAAGAGCCAAAATCAGGTGTAATCCTTGACTTGTACCAAGAGTGAGGATAAGTCTTCTTGAAACATTCACGAAAATACACAGTGCCCGGAAAGCAGACCTTAAATGAGCTGCAGGCTGCAAAATTAAGAGCACTGTGGGGAGCGAGATAACTTAATTCGAACACAGCTCTCCCTCTTGCCGTCAAAGGCAGGGTGTGGTACTGCCTTGGGTGCAGCTTCCCAAGGAGCCCTAGTCCCTGCTGCTGCTGGGTACGGCCCTGGGAGCATCTGCCTCTGTCACTCAGCTCGGGCTGTGGATCTTCCTCAGTAGCTTATTTCCCTCTTGGACTGTTTGCCAGTCACCTCTTGGGATTGACTGGACTTGGAGTTGAGTACTTGGGGGTTTGGGTTCAGGGCTGTCTCTAGCTTGCCTGATGGAGTCTTGGTTTAATTAAGGTATATTACCTTGAATAAAAATGATTGATTGCATTACAAACCTTGTTTATTACTTCTACAGTAGCTTTAGGGAGATGGATAAAGTACCTTAACACTGATCATGCTGATATCTCTGCTGTAGATGCGAGCTCAGAAGCACTTTGCATCACCCAGCTCTGGGGATTTGTTGCTCTCTAAAAGACCGTGAAAGTCCAAGTGCAATGTCACAACTCAGCAGCAAAGATCATGTTGTCCTACTCATGCAGGAGCAGGGAGTCCAGCTGGAATACATATGGCTTAAGGGTGTGTGGTGACATCTACATTAGTGGATAATAATAAAATAATTAACATTTACATTTTAAGGGCCTCTGAGGATTATACACTGCAAACAAAACTTTTCTTGCCTGGGTCAAGAGCGGCACATTTTCTAATTAAAAGTGATCCCCTTCCTAAACTGAGTTTGTGTGACCTTTTTAGGGGGATTTTGGCTTCCTCGGAAGGTGGAAGCTGTGAAGGAGCAAAGATTGACTCCACTTATTACATGGAAGGAAAGAGGGAGGCGCTTTCTTGGGTGGGTTCCTGGCACAGCAAGCTCTCTAGTTTAGTGGTTTAATGTTATCATTTACCCTCCCCCGAAACTTAAGAATTACAGCCTTGTAATTCAGATATCTCTGATTTATGAAGTTTCAAATACAGAAAGAACCTTGTTCAAGAGCTGTCATTAAAAAAAAAACCTTTTTCTTTTTTGATGATGAGGTGCTTATGAGAGTCTGGACTATCTGCTTTCTAAGTGTCCGGTGTGCAAACGAAGTATTGGCCCACATGAATCTCACACCTCATGGGTGCTGTAAAATCGTCTGTACTGACAGCGTCATACGGTAATTTCCTATGCAGGTAGAAAGTTTTCCAGTGCTGATTACAGCACCAAAATTTGGGAATATGGCATGAATATGGATGAGAGGAGATCTGGGTATGTGTGAGAAATGGTGACTGTTGCAGATGGCTGATGTACAATATAGGGCAGTGTGCGTGTGCATGCTCTGTGCCTTGCACGGGACATATGCTCTAGGGTTTTACGGATGAGTTTGTACTCTCTAGTAATTTGCAGCTTCCACCGCAGTTTCAAATATCTACATCATTTTCAGGTTGATGATTTTTCCCAGTCATTTATCCCAAAAGCACTTTATCCTACTTAATCTGGGTCATAATTGACATGGGACTTGTGCGTAAGCGGAACACAGCCACGAGGTGTGTTTGAATGGGCTGTTAATGTCAGGGATTTAGTTATGTGCAGTAAAACAGATCAGAGGTTGGAATAAGTATAAATGTTCAAATAACTGATGAATGCAGGGTCACAGTCACGACTTGGACTCAGAAGACACTCTTGAACACTTACATACTCATGCTATTAGCTCACAGCTGCCTTTGGCCCTAAGGAAGACATAAAGTTGGAAAGTTTTGGTAAGGAAGCTGTTGGAATTGGATTGTATTTATTGCAAATCAACAGGATACCTTTGCGAGTATAAAAGACATATGGAAAAGTCTGCTGTTATTACTGTACTTTGTTGTGTCTCCAGATGTTTTCCCTCCTGCCCCGCTCCGGAGGCTGAAAGTGGAAAATGTTTTTTCGTTGTTTTTAGCTGGTGGTGCCAACATCTGCCTTGACATTTCCCTGGGGAATGTTATTAGCACTGCTGAGAGTTTCTGATGCATCATTTGTGTCTCATTTGCCTTTTTTTTTTAATTTTTAATACAATATAATGTAAGAGTATGAAGTTTGAACCCTGTTCAATTCTTTTGAGGGAGCAGGGGTGAGAACAGATCAAGGGGAACAGTTGGGTGGCTGCTGAAGTATCACAGCAGCACTTAGCAGCTGCCTTATTTTTAAGGGGCTATGATTGAGGCATAAAACATTGCTCTGAGCTGATATTTTTCTTTGAAAGAAATAGTATTTGCGAGCTCAAACATACTTAAAGATCTGAAAATGCTTAATATAGCTTCATTTTTTAATATACATTTAATCCATCGTTAGCTCACAGCATGGACAGTGCTCTACTGTGGGGGGAGAAGAACCAAATGAGTATCTTCATTTGGAAGTACTCTTTGCTGGTTGTATATACTCATAATGATATTGTAAAAATTTCAGTTCCATAGTTTTGAACCTAAAGTTTATTCATCCAGTTGATGGGTGTGTAGATTAGCAAGTTGACCCAAGTTTGACTGCTGAGGAAGGTACTTCTAATAGAAATGCCAGACAAAATAACATTTTCCCCCAAAGTTTCTGTACTTCTGCTTATCAAAAAAACAGATGCACAGTAGCAGATTTTATTAATTTTTCAGTGCTTAAATCTGACCTTTTAAATAGGAATGAACTTTGGAGAAAATTTGGGCCAGAATTCTCAAATGTAGGTGTCTAAAACTAGGCTCTGACCTGTAGTTGATTTATAGAAGTTCTTGGTTCATTCTTTTACACTAACTGGAATGATGGGGCAGAATCTGTGACTAGAGCTCTTAGGTGGTAATGGTGTAAATTTTAGCAATGTCAGATCATGTTGTTTTGGAGGAATTAGTTGGGTCCAAGAAACTACAAATTCTTTAAAGATCTTACAGTTTTGCCTGCTGATTTGTACCTTTAATGTTGTTTGGTTGGTTCCCTGTTTGGTTGCAATTATTTACAGCTCACTGCTGGTTTTTTGAGGTCCTAGCAAGAAATTCCACAGACAGCTGCAAAATATATTTTTAATCAATTGTTGGAAGACTTATTCCCTAACTAACATATTTCTTCCAGCTAAGACACGGTAAAAACTGTTCTGCAGATACTCGGGGAGGGGGGGAAAGTCTTCCTGACAAAGATGTCCCTTTTGTGAATTGCTGTGGTGTCACGGTCGTGTGGTTCAGGCCAGTCTGAGCACTGTAATTTAGGTACATTTGGTGGTGTGATTTAACCCCAGCTGACAACTGAATACTGCCCAGCCACTCAGTTCTCTCCCAGCAGAATGAGGGGAAGAGAACTGGAAGGGTAAAAGTGAGAGAACTCGTGGGTTGAGGTAAGGATAGCTTAATAGTTGAAAAGGTGTTGTTGTTATTTTTATTTTTATTATTATTATTATTTTGGTAATGGGAAGAAAAATAGTGGAAAAAGAGAAATAAAACCCAAGAAAGACAAGTGATACCAATGAAAACCAGTTGCTCACCACCAACCAGTGTGCAGCCAGTCACAGAATCATAGAATTATTTGGGTTGTAAAATACCTGTAAGGTCATTGAGTCCAACCATTCCCTCAGCACTACCAAGCCCACCACTAAACCATGTCCCCAAGTGCCACATCCACATATCTTTTAAATCCCTCCAGGGATGGTGACTCCAGCAGTTCCCTAGGCAGCCTGCTCAGCACTGTTTCCAGCACAGATCCAAAACACAGCCCCGTACGAGCTCCTATGAAGAAAACCAGCACAACTGGCCTTATCCATTCAGTGCTCTCTTACCCCCAGTTGTTTTTTTATTAAGAAACGTATTTACCTTTTTTTAAGCTTCTCAGGGTAAGCCTGCAAGAGCAGCCTTTGCTAGTTCTGTTTTTTTTTGTGTATGCCTATAAGCAAAAAGAATAGAACAAGGAGACAGTATTTCTTGTGAGGGTTCTAAAGCAGCAATATTCTGTAGGCAAATAATATAATTTGGTTATCCATCTTTCAAATGTTAATGGTCTAAATATGGTTGATACAATTAGATAAGTCAGAATACAAGGAAATAGTAGCATGTTTCTGTTGGAGTTTTGTCTGCAAAATGTAGAATTCTCATGTGTATTGGGATTAAAACAACTCGTACAGATCACAAGTTTTCAGATCCATGAGCTCTGATTCAGGTTTATCTCTTACTTCTGCAAACCTAATTTGTGTGCAAATTTTGTGCAGAAGATTTTGTATGGCAACAATTCCACTGTGAATTCATTTGAGGCAGTGAGGCCAAAGGGTTTTATTGAACTAGTACTTTCCTTCTAATTTTATTGAAATGTTTGCGTGTTTCGGTGTTGAGATAGGAGTTAGATCTAATTTACCACTTAATTGTGTTTATTCATTTATTTTCCTTTGCACTCATGTAAATTGCCTTGTTTCCCTTTTGTCTTTTCAGGTCAGGATCGCAGCGAAGCCACTTTAATAAAAAGGTTTAAAGGTGACGGTGTCCGATACAAAGCAAAACTGATTGGGATAGATGAGGTTTCTGCAGCACGAGGAGACAAGTTATGCCAAGACTCCATGATGAAGCTCAAGGTGCAGTGAAATTTGTAATACTTAATATTATGGAGTCAAAGGGAGCAAATTTCAGCTTGAACTTTTACTCGTTCTCCTTTCGTGACACTGAGTCTTGGTCTGGTTAATTATGTATTGAAATCAGTCAATTTTACATGAACTCCTGGCTGGTATTGCTTATCCTGGTTTAATTTTCATACATTATCTCTGAGTTCAGTAGTTATTCATGATTGACACCACTGCAATTTGTCCACAAATTATAAACAACACATCTGCAAATTGAATAATTTTATTATGCAAAAGGGGAAGTAAAGCACTGTGGAGAGAAATGGTGTATCAGAATATTTTCTATGACATTGCTAATCAACTACAGCCCTGCCTGTGGCCATTACCTCCTATGGGGACGGGCAGGAAGGTGTTAGTGACAGTGTTGGGTGTACGTAGCCAGATATAGAGGGGACCTGTGTCCTCACTGGAAGGAGAATGCCTTGCACCTATAATGGCAGGACTCATGGTTACAAAATCAGGAGGCAGTGCACTGGGAGGATGCAGCATGAAATGATAAAGAGAAGTCCCCAGAGTTTTGGGGAAGAAAATGAGCAGTGGCAAGGGCAGATTTGAGTAGAGTGTGAACTCGGAGAGTAGACAGAGTCTGAAAGCACCAGTGGTATCAGAGCGATGATAGACATCTCTCTGGCTGAGACTTTTCTCACACCCCTCAAAGAGCATGAGACCTGTTTATAGGAAACATCCTTTCCCTCACCCTGGAACATGTGGAAGAGCTTGTGTTGTTGGGAAGGAGGGATAGGTTGTGTTTTCCTGCAGTGCAGTGTCGGCTGTTGACTTGCCGTCTGCATTGTAGGTTACAAGCTAGTTCTAGGAGTAAACCCTTTGCAGTTTTTTCCCTTTTTTTTATTTCCTGCCAGTCCTCTCCCCGCCACTCTGCCAAGAGAGCTGATGGATTTCTATTGCTGATTTTTTCAGGAGGAGAAATCACTAAATGGTGTCTTGTTCACTACCAACCTGCAGAGTTCCAGTCCCAACTGTCTGGGAGGAATAAGTTATTCATTAAGAAACAGCATGGGGTGACATCCCTCCTATGGTTCAGCAATCTAAAAGCAAGATCTGGTAGATAATTTACAAATCAGTTTTATGGAAAGCAAAAACTAATCTGCTCTAAAAGGTGTTCTGTTGATATGTCACACTGGCCACAATATTCCTACCTGATTTAAATGTGTGCTGGATATTTCTCACTGTTTCATAGTTTTTAGAAGGAATTGGGGAGAGTTGCTACTGTTCTGCTGCACAAGCTTTTTTGTCTCTCTCCTCCATGGATTACCATTTCCATATCTCCCAGATGCCTGATAACCTGTTTGCATGGTGGAAATATTAATCTAAACAGTCCTGGGAAATTACTAAAGCTGTTAAGGATAGGGAGCACTAGAAATTCACATTTGGTGGCATAACATGAAGTTTTGGGCTCTGGAAATCCAGTGTCCTACGACATGGGTTTTAAGGCCACCCATAAAGTTTTGGGGTGACTTTTGATACCATGTCTGTGTAATGACAACAATGATCTCATGAAGGTCTTAGAACTTAAGTTAGTGGTTCTTAAAATATGTTGAAATTTCAGATAGCCAGATAAAGGCTAAATATTTTCATTTATTTAGGAGTGCAATTGATTGCATTTGGTCTTAGTACGGTGTTGTTGGTCAGGACAGACTCCTGAAAAGGTGGAAATAGAAGCTGCTATTATAGTTACACTGAGGTAGAGTGGTGCATGAGATGATATCAGCAAGTTCACTTAGAAAGTAAAAGTCTGAGTTTACAGCACAGGTGTAGTTATATTTTGAGAAGAATGTTTTTCTTCTATAAAAAGCTCAGTTTGCTTATTCCAAATAAATGTGCCCATGAAGTAAGCTGAAGTTTGTTGGCATTTTCTTTCCTCTGCTCCCTGTTGGGTTTTTTCCTTTAAAAAGAAAAAAAAAAAAAGAAAAGAAAACAGAGCAGCTTATAGCTGGGAAAAGTGTGCTAGAGATGACCTTCAGCTTCCATGAAAACAAATTTCATGGAGGATTAGCTAGTGCAGTGGTTGGAGGTGGGAGCACATTTGAAATGCTCTCTTGGTAGCATAAAGAGATCTGATACCTTGAAAAAAGAGAAGAAGCCAGAAGTAAGAGGGGGACTGTTCCTAGAAAGCCTTGAAATTTTCCCAGAAAAGTGGGGAATAGTCCACAAGCAAATCTGTGCTCTGCTGTGGCACCTGAAAGAGTCATGAAACCAACTAAACTGTTCTTTTTTTCCATAGGGAATTGTTGCTGCGGCTCGTTCGAAAGGAGAACATAAACAAAAAGTCTTCTTGACAGTTTCCTTTGGGGGAATCAAAATCTTTGATGAAAAGACAGGGGTAAGTAAAATGATCAGTTGATGGAGCACAATTGAATCTTTTCATGGATGTTTCTTAGAAGCATTTCCTGACTGGGCTGTGATATCTCACCAGTGTAAACACACGTGAAGCATCTGAGAAGCTTGATAAAGGGTTATCATCTCTCAGAGCCAGTCATTATGTGACTTGTGGAGTGTAGCATGGAGACATGGTTTATTGTAAAACCATGTCCTGGATATTGCTGCTGAACCACTTACTGGAGTACACAGATTCCCTTATGCTCACAGCTCTGAGTCCAGAAGTGGCAAAAAGGGATTTGTTTTCCTTCAGCAGATAAAAAAATCACGTCTTTGAAATGCCAGCCCAGTATTTGCAGAAGACTGCAGGAGTCCATGGGTCACACTGGTATCTGTGCCTATACAGGTTTTCTCATCCATCCTGGGTCCAGCTGCACCCCATCCTCTGGATGCTGCTTAAGGATCCTCAGCAGTACAGGTCAGGTGACTTTTGAGGGTCTCATGGCAAGGGATTAGGATTAGAGGTGAGAATTGCCTTGGACTGCGCCCCTTGTGTCAGAGTAAGCTGAGGGGATGAAAACAAGCTGGAACAGGGAGCTGAGGGCAACTCCAGAAGAGTGAAGCTGATCTTCCCCCCCCCCCCCAATTGCCTGAGATAGGGAGAGAAAAGGAAGGGCAGTGTGGGCTGGGGAGCAGCATGCACTTAGCTGGGATTGTCCTCAAGATGTCCCAGGGTAGTCATAAGAATTTCTGTCAGATCCATAATTCCACACGAATGCAGCTGTATGTAGTCACCATAGTGTGATATATCCTATTAACAGCAACACCATCAGAATCGGAGCTCATGTGTTGTCAGTGGTAGAAAAATTATATATTGTATGGAATGGGAGCCAAAAGGCACTGGAAAGTTTGAGGTTGCCATGTAAAGCTGCCAAGCAGCACCTTCCCTGGTAACATCTGGTTGAGGAAGTTGCAGAGATTTCCATGTCTTACACAGTTTTTGCCATAGCAATACCCTGTTTGATTTTTTAAATTGCTCCAAAAGAAGAAACCTAAGCAAAACATTATACTACTTAGATATAAAGCAACAACACACAAACTGTTTTAATCATAATTAAGAAGATTTTTACAGCAGTTGAAGCTCTGCCTTGAATTTTAAAAAGCTCTTGATTTAATCTTTTGGAAGATTAACTATTTAACATGATGCCAGAAATAAAACCCTACTGATGATAGATGAAATTATCTTTGCCAGTTAATTTATATTATTAGAAAATCAATGTCGTTGAGCTCACTGATACGTAATACGAGTAGTTAGTAATGAAAAGCTCATTTGGGATGTGTTGTGTACAGCCTGTGTAAAGTATTCATACAAAAGCAGTGTTGCAGAGAACATTGCTGGGGTTACAGAAAATAGAAAATGTCAGAATTAGGACTGTCAGTGAAAATTGCACTCGGGCCACAGTTACTTTCCTAAGACTAAAGCCTTTTGTTGGAAAAATAAAAAAGAAGAAAGACTAGTCCTTTTGCCCTTGTCTTTGAAAGTTTCTCAAACATTGGATTTCTCTGCATAGAATAAAGAGGGAAAAGGGGATGTGTTTTAGAAACAAAGGTGTGCTTTATTCCAGTTGTCTTTCCTGCAGCATCCTGCACGCTCTCCTGTCTGCAGCTGGTGAGGTGGGGACATGGGAACAGTCTCCTTCATTTCATAACTCTGACACCGTGTACTCTAAATCTGACACATCTATATCATCCTTATAGTAAATCTGTCACTCACTCACTGAGGCTTAGAATGAAACCTCTAAATCCACCTTCCAAATGTCTGCCCCTGAGCTGCTGGAGTGATGGACAGGAATATTGAGTTGTCCTTCTTGGAACAGGACTGTGACAAAGGGCTGTGGGGAGCTTTCGACATCAGTTTTTACGTGTTTTGAAAGCAGGAGAATCATGTTTTCCATGCCAAGGTTTTGAAGCAGGAGTGCATGAAATACTCTGCTGGTTTTTCAGAGCCACCATCCCTTTGGCTTTTTCCATGGCTTGGGTCTCTCCATGTCCCAAAGTTTCACACTCTCATCCCATTCTTTTCATAGACTGTCTCATCTAGCCTGTCTCTGCTTTGCCACGAGTTGTCATCTCATTCCCATTCCTTCTGGGAATCTCAACATCTGAAATATGCAAATTAATGGACAGATCGTGGCAGAGTCTCCAGGCTCTTGGAGCACTGCTGAGGCAAGGTTCTTCCCACAGCACAAGAGACAAATATTTAGGGGTGATTCACCATGTCTCATCCATACAGCTATGGCTCATCCTGGTGGAATGCTGAGAGATGTCAGCTGGCAGAGCAGTAAATGAGACCATCTGTGTAGTCTCACCTCGATGTCTCTGTGCTAAAATGACCCCAAAGAAAGCTGCATCACTGCTATGATGAGGAGCCTCCTAGATGGCAAAATTAGGTGATGCAGAACACTGACAATCCCATCCTTGATTTAGAAAAATCCCACAAGCTGGCAAAACTGGGAATGTACAGTTTCTTGGCCTGGATCTTTTGATGGGAAGGAAGCAAAAGGGGTTGCAAGAAGGTTATGTTTCTCTCACACTGATCTTCTGATATCCATGTTAAACTTTGGAGTTTATAAAGTTTGGAGACTAATGTTTACATTCATACAATAGGGAAAAAAATAGCCCTTAATAGGGAACAGCCAGATAATCCTGCATTTGCTTTCTCCTCCTTTAACAGCCCGCTCTGCCCCCCACATTGCTTTCTCCCTTAGTTGTATTTCCATCTTTTTGGAATTCCCAAAAGGATATTTTGGGCCACAGAGCTCATTTATTGTTTATTTTTAAAGATTATTTACCTCTTCAGAATGTCCTTTCTTAACTTTTAGCATTGGCAATTGCTATCACGTCCACCACAGTGGCAGTCTGGTGTGATAGAAAAGAGAAAAAATATTCTGAAAAAATGTGGGCTTCTGTATGTTGAATGTCTTGTAGGCTGCCATTGGATTTTAATTTATCACAATAAAAAAATCAATTTGTAGCTCAAAACTAGCAAATTTTTTTTAAAATTGGCAGTGTCATAGCTGACTTCATACAGATGATTTAGGGGAATTACTCCATAATTCGTTACAGATGAAAGGCTGTAGTTGGGTTACTACTGAAAATGATAAGCAGGGTTTTTTCCCCCTGTACTTTATAGCTCTCTTTAATATGTTCCAGACCTAATATTCATCAAAAAATATTGATTTTAATAATGCTATTATTCCAGCCATCAGGAATTCTGCCCTATGAGTAAATTTATCCATGAAGGAGACTAGGGTGAAGGTGGAATATCATTTGGAAAGAGTTTATCTCACCAAGAAAAATGCAAGAAGGATTTGCTGTGAGTTTACACTGTAGATGCAATACGATATAGTTCTTCTACAGCACTGCAATAGAAATAATAACAATCCTTTCTTATATTCCATCATTCCATGCCATGGATCCATCCATCCCACTTGCTTTCTCCAGAATATGTTTGCCAAATATATACCTCACAGAAGGGAAATACATCTCTTTGTTTTTTTAACATAAAAAAATCTACCATAATTATTGCTAAACCCATGCTTTCTCTACCCATTGCCACTTGAGAGATTTCATGGCTGCATATTATATGAAAATAATTTTTCATCATTTATTCTGTCATATCCATCTTGGTTATATCTCATGCTGCAGTATATTCTTCATTAGTCATATTTCATGAGAGTTCTTTTATATTTTCAAAAGCATGTAGAAGGCAAAAATGCAAATAATTGCATTATGTTATTTAATATTCTCCTTTTCAGGGTGGAACTTAGTGGTTGGTGATTTCTTTAGAAAGCAACAAAAGCCATAACTCTGCATATAGAAGGGTATGCAAAATTTTTAAAGGCCCATCATTGTTGGTTAGCTATTTATGAGTGTTATTTTGTTAATCACACACATCAGGCCATCTCCCTGTGATAGCTTAGTAATGCTTCATTAGATGTGCGTGACTAATATGGGCTCCATGAAGAGCCTGTAATTGTCTCATTGTTTATTTATGTGACAATAAATCTTTGTTTACTGTAGATTACTTTCCAAAAATGTATTTGAAACTAATAATTAAATTCTATAAAATATGCTCGGGAAAACATTTTCTTCTACATTCATGCAGTGAGCTGTGCTTTTAAACTCTTGTTATTTCTAGTTGACTTTAATGGAAAACTCAGACATTGTGAGAAAGAAATAAGATGAAAGCAAAAAATTACTATTTGGCTTTAAAGTATTATTTCTGTTAAAGTAAAATTTTAAATAAATCACGGATATGCAAATTACCAGAATATGCCATAATATATAGCTCTGTATGAGGTATTGTTGTAGCTTAATTATTTATCTAGATTCCTCCATTGTCCAAAAAGCATGGTAGATCGGTGTCAGTATCTTGTTTATTTATGGCAAATACCCTGAACAGATGGATTGTAACCCAGTTGATGAAGATGACAGTCATCTCACCAGTTTTTTCCTATTTTGTCCTGTGTAGCACCCTAAAAGTGAGTTTCATTTGCATTGTCTGTTCTGCACTTTAGAGGGACTGGCTTGTCTTTCAGAGATATTAACTCATATCTTTAACAAATATAGGGCACAACCTGTGGGATTGTAAAATTTCTAGGAAAAAAGTATCTAATGGGGTTACAGTATTACAGAGAAGTATTGCAGTGTGTTACTCAGGTTTTATGAATTTAATTTGTAGACATTTTCTTCAGGCTGTTAGTATGAAATCCAGAAAGGAAAACTGTATGTATAAATACATGTATTCCATGTTGACTATCTGTTACTGTTACCTACCTGGTACTCCAACCTTCGTTATCTTTGATGAGGATTTTATTTTATTGTTTTTGAGGTTTACCTACCTGAGATGGTGTTTCTCAGTGAATAGCACTTCCCTGTTCCATGGAAGGGGGACTAGACCTTACCTGTAGCATTTCATACAAAAAAGTTAATTTTCCTTTT